GGCCTGGATTAAAATGAAATTCCATTGCATAAATGTCCCAAAGGTGCTTTTTTTGTTGTTTTTTCCTGGAGGAATCTGGACTTTCTTAGAATGGAATAATAGAGTTGGAAGGGATATCGGAGGTCTTCTAGTCTGATCCCCCGCCTAGGCAGGAAACCCTACACCACTTCAGACAAAGGGTTATCCAATTTCCTTCTTAAAAACTTCCAGTGTTGGGGCATTCACAACTTCTGGAGGAGGCAAGTTGTTCCACTGATTAATTAATTGTTCTGTCAGGAAATTTCTCCTTTGTTAGTTCTGAGGTTGCTTCTCTCCTTGATGAGTTTCCATCCGTTGCTTCTTGTCCTGCCTTTTGGTTCTTTGGAGAAGAGCTTGACTGCCTCTTCTTCGGGGCAGCCCCTCCGATATTGGAAGGCTGCCCTTACGTCTCCTCCCCCAGTCCTTCTTTCCATTAAACGAGACGTACCCGATTCCACCCACTGCTCTTCGTATGTTTTAGCCTTTCAGGCTCCCTAATCCTCTTTGTCTGCACTCATTTCCAGAGTCTCAACCTCTTTTTTGCCTCGTAGTCCAACCCCCTGCTTGAGGGGGAGATCCTATGTCATTCCAGACAAGTGGTTATCCAACCTCTTCTTCAAAACCTCCAGGGATGCAGCACCCAAAATGTCTGCAGGGAAGCCATTCCACGAGTCAATTGTCCTCACGGTCAAGAAATTGTCTCCTCAATTCTACATTGCTTCTCTCCTCGATGAAGTTTCCATCTGTTGCTTCTCTGCCTTCAGGTGCTTTGGAGAATAGGTGGACTGTGGACCCCGTTTTCTTTGGGGCAGCCCCTCAAATATTAGTCCGCTATCATGTCTCCCCTGGTCCTTCTTTTCATTAGAATAGACATATTCAATTCCTTGTGGCCATTCGTCGTATGTTTTATCCTCCAGCCCCCTCATCCTCCTGGTTGCTCTTCTCTGCCCTCTTTCCAGAGTCTCAGCCTCTTTTTTTTATATCATGGCCACCAAAACTGGATGCAGGATTCCAAGTGTGGCCTTCCCAAGTTCTCTTTCCTTAATTTCTTGAGTTCTGCAAAGTTTGCTCTTGAAGGCAGCCGCGGGGAAGGGCCTCAGCAGCGATGAATGGGGGAGGAGGAAGGGCAGAATTGGTAGCAGTTGGTGGGCCTCCTGTTCACAGGGGGCCAGTCAGTTGTGGCCACTGAGCAGCTGAGATTTAGACTGAATCTACACTACGTACACATGACCAATCAATCCGTCCGTCAAGGCAAAACTGACGCGTAGACCCAACTAGGTTACATGAGGTTAGGCGTTTTTTGAGAATGTGGGATGGGCGCCTGGTTTGCTCTCTGGAAGACCCCTCCCCAGGGGTGGGATTCGACCGGTTCTGACCAGTTCTATAGAAGAGGTTGTCACGATTCTGCGCATATGGGAGAACTGGCAAATTGTGCCCCTGGCTGGCCCCTCCCCTCCCTGCCCAGTCACTCCTTAAGGAGTTTCTTTCCCCCGTCCCAATGATCAGCTGTTCTGACGATCAGCTGTTCTGGGATCCCCCTCCCTGTCTCACTGCTTGGCCCAGGGGTGGGTGTTCAGAGATTTGCAGTGTTCATTCAGCGCCAGAAAAATGAACACAGGTGACTGAGGCTTCATTTAACACCTTTATAAACAGAATAAGTAGATTTTACAAACCAGCGGTAGATTTCTCCGCCGTGGAGGCAACTCAGACGGAAACATAAAAAATAAACACAGATGGCTGATGCTTCATTTAACACCTTTATAAACATAATAAGTAGATTTTACAAACCAGTTGTAGATTTCTCCAACGTGGAGACAACTCAGATAGAAACATCTTGCAAGTAACTTCAGCAGGCAAGCAAGCAAGCTAGTTTCATTTCCAATAAATAGACTCAGAGCTTCAACAGAGCTTCAGAGCTGCAGAGCTTAATATAGAGCCACCCCTATAGGCTACTTCTAGTTTCAGTTTCCAAACAGTCCTCATTGGCTGATTTAGTTGTGATGCCTATTCATTGGCTGACCTTGTGACCAAGCTCTGTTCCAGTTCATGAATGTACTCTGACATTACGCCCCTTCCTGATCCATTTTTTTTCCTTTCTGGGAGTAAAAACGCCACCCCTGGGGGGCTTCCCCGAGGCCCAGAAGGTCCCCAAATGGAGCGTGGGGGGGGGTGCTGCAAAAAAATAATAATAATGCCACGCCCACCCAGGCACATGGCCACGCCCACCTAGCCACACCCACTCCCCCTGCCACTCCCCCTCCTGCCAGTGGCGGTCTTCCTCTGCCCCGCTCTGACAGCAGCCATTTTGTGTCCTCAGCTCCACGACCCGATGGCAGCGGCATGGAGGCTCCGGGCTGCCCTCGGACTCCAGGGTCCAGCAGGGCCAGCTGCTCTTGAGCCACGTGGACCCCTCCTCCGAAGGCACCTACAGCTGCCAGAACGGCGCTGGGCTTCCCCTGGGCTCCGTGGTGCTCCGGGTTGGCCGTAAGTCTGAGTCTCGCGTGGGAGGGAATGATATTTGCCTGGGGTGGGACCCCACTCCGCGCTTCTCCAGGGTTAAGGAAGCCTCTGCGTGGGGAACTCGAGGGGGGAGAGGTAGATACTCCTTGGCTTACAGCACTTCCTATATAGGGACCGTTTTTCACCCTTACGACCATGTGGCAGCATCCCCACGGACCAAAATCCAGAGGCTTAGCAATGGGCTCGTATTTATGACGGATGCATGGTCCTGGCATCCTGTAGTCCCCCTTTTGCGACCTTCGGACAAGCAGGGATGTTCAGTTTTGCACTGTAAATTCAGGGCCAGAAAAGTGAACGCAGGTGGCCGAGGCTTCGTTTAACTTCTTTATAAACACGTACAGTAAATTTTACAATACCAGTCGTAGATTTCTCCAACATGGAGCAAACTCAAACAAAAGCAGACATGTTACAGGTTCAGCAAGCAAGTCAGTTTCATCCTCCACAGACAGGCTCAGAGCTCACCCTCGCTGTGGAGCTGCGGAGCCAAATATATAGAGCCACACCTAGGCTACTTCCAGTTTCAGTTTCCAAACAGCCCTCATTCATTGGCTGACTTAGTTGCTATGCCTATTCATTGGCTGATCTTGTTACTGTGCTTTATTCCAGTCCGTGAATATACTTTGACAAAGGGCAATAGGGAAGGCAGGCTCACTTAACAACTAAACAATTGCAGTGATTCACTTAACAGCGGTGGCAAGAAAGGTAGAAAATGGGAGGGGGAGGGGCTCGCTTAATAACTGCCTCGCTTAACAACAGAAATTTGGAGCTCAAAATTAGGGTCCTAATTGGGGTGAGCCCCCTGCAGAACAAGAGAGGCCCTGACCTGGGGATCCTCCCCCTCCAATTGTTGCCCCTCCTTGCCCTCAGGACTCCCCGGGCCGCCCTCCGTCTCCTGCCGGGCTTCCAACTACGAGAACTTCACCTGCTTCTGGACTCCCAGCGTTGAGACTCACCTGCCCACCCGATACATCACCAGCTACCTGTAAGTCCAGGGAGATGCCCCCCCCCCCTCACGCAGGTGACGGTTGAACCAAAGCGGCTTTTTCCTCAAGGCAACTGGACTTAATGGACAGAGTCGGAAGGGACCTTGGAGGTCATCTAGTCCAACCCCCTGCCCAAGCAGGAGACCGTTCTTCCATTCCAGACAAGTGGCTGTCCCGTCTCTTCTTGAAAACCTTCCAGGGATGGAGACACCCACAACTTCTGGTGGCAAGGAGTTCCACTGGGGAATTGTTCTAACTGTCAGGAAATTTCTCCTTCACCCCAGGTTGCTTCTCTCTTTCGTTAGTGGTTGTAAGTTGACCATCCGGTAGACTTAAGACCACTAGAAAGTCCAGAAAATTGTAAGTTGCCTTTTGGAAAAAGTCCCTTCAGGAAACCTACCTGTATATCCGGGAGTGGGTGCTGGGTTGTGTGGGAGTCAGAGGAGCTGACGAGGTTGGGAAGGGGGGGGGTGTCTACGGAGGAGAGGGGAAGACCTAGATCTATGGGGCCAGGAGCATGTTGGAGGGGGAGCTGGGGGGACAGAGGAGGAGGAGGGGTGGGGGAGAAGGAAGAAGAAGAAGAAGAAGAAGAAGAAGAAGAAGAAGAAGAAGAAGAGTTTTTGTCTCCTCCACCTCTTCCTTTACGGTCCTTCCGCTCTCCAGCTGAGGACCTTATAACAGAATAACAGAGAGTTGGAAGGGACCTTGTAGGTCATCTAGTCCACCACCACCCCCGCCCAAGCAGGAGATCCTACACCATTTCTGACAGATGACAGTCTTGTGTGGAGTGGAGCCATGATAAGCAAGGCTGGGGGCTAGGGTGGACACTTGAGGGGCGTGTGTGTGTGTGTGTGTGTGTGTGTTTACTCTTGAGAACATGCAGTTCCTCTGGGAAACATAATTGAATTAACTCTGTGTTTGCACACCTTATCCTTCGATATGGGGATTGGGTCTGTATAACTTTTTCCGGGGAGGGCGGGGTGTTGCTAATTTGAGTCGATGAACTGATTCTCAGACCGTTGCAGATTCTGTCAAACGGTTTTTAGGGAGGACGGAGCAGCGGTGAGATCCTACCTGTTTCCCCGGCCGGTTTGCTGATTGTGCGTTGCGCACCTAACGCAGCCGCGCCGCTTTCTCCACCCCAGCGGAGGCTCTTTGGGGCCAATCGGCTGAGTCTAGAAAGAAGAGAAAAGCAGAGGGGCCAATGGGAGGAGCGCCGACCCGGCGCTTTTCTCTTCTTTCTCCTCTCGGCTGATCGCTGGAGGCCTTTTTTTTACTACCGGTTGGGGTGAACCAGTCTGAACCGGGAGCATTTCACACACACCCCTGGGATGGAAGCAGTATAAAGAATCCGATATATTGGGATACAAAACTTCTCCCGGCGCTTATTGCCAGGCCAGGTATAATGCCACCGGTTTGGGGAAACGTCTTTCCCGGGTGGTTGACTCGCGGCTGGGGAGGATGGGAGTTCGCGTCATCATTTCTCCTCGGCCAAGAGCTTAGGGGAGGACGCCCACTTTCTCTTGCACCTGTGCCCGCAGGTCCCCGGTGAAGAGTGTGGGCCCGTGTGTCCAGGATCCCGGCCGCCCCCTCACCTGCACCGTCAGCAAGTCCGAGTACTGGAGCTTGTACCGTGTGAACGTGACGGAGGTGAACCCGCTGGGCTCCAGCTTCACCCTGCTGAACATCATTGCCCAAAGAATCAGTAAGGCTCACCCTTCATCTTCGTTTAGCGACCAGGTTGTTAAGTGAAGCTGTTGCTAAGTGAAACAACGCGAAATAATGAAAAGGAAATGTAATAACTATGAGTAGCAACATTATATTTGTACTAAATGTACAGTACCCAGGTATATGAGACTGTTCACGCATCGATATGTATAAGCAATATAACATAAAAAACTTGATATAAAAATAAATCTATATAAATATAAAAGCAAAATACCCATCATGCATCATCACAAAATCTCCAGGACCGTAAAGCCTACAAACTTGAAATTTCGCACGTATCTTCCTCTTGGTTCTAGGGGCTCACTGAGAAAGGATTTCTCAAAATGACGACCGTCAGAGCATTAGTATTTCCTATATTATTATTATTATTATTATTATTATTATTATTATTATTATTATTAACACGCTCTGATGCTAAGGAGTTCTACTCCCCCTCCCCACCTGGAAAGAAATCTCTTCCAAATGCAAAATAGAAGCAGAGGAGTGGAGTTTCACTTTCAGTTTCAGAGCACCAAGCAGCTTTAGTGCAGAACAGTTGAGCTAAGCTCCGCCCAGGCTCCTGGCTGTCTCCTTCTTGCTCACACAGCAAATACTCTTTCAGTTTCCAAGCAGCCCTCCACTCTCTCACACACTGACAGGACGCTAGCCAGACGAATACCGATGGATGCTGAGAGGCAGAAATTTTACCCTCTCATTTTCTTCCCCCAAAACTAAGCCCGACCACACAGTTTCCTAGTGAACCACGGGGATCATCTAGTGCATAAATATGAGCCCATTGCTACGTATCTGAATGTAGATCCCGTGAGCACAGGAAGGCTGCAACGTTCGTACATTTGAAAAACAGTTGTAAATCACTTTTTCCAGGACCATTGTCACTTTGAACGGTCACTAAATGAACTATTGTAAGTTGGGGATTATCTGTATGTATGTAAGAGGAGTAAAACAGTATAAAAATACAGAATTATCAGCTACAGGTCGAGCTAAAACTAGGAAGGGTGGGGTGAGATGTGTTATTAAACTCAACCGCCCACCCCCACGTGAAGCGCCCTCCCTTGGAGCACCACGCCAGCTGGCAGAGTCTTGCAGGCGGTCAGGGGGGTTGGGGCTGACCTCACATTGGGGGGGGGAATGGGGACCCCCCCCCAGCCAGAATACCCTTCCTCCTCTGCCAGATGTGGGGTGGGCCAGTGCCCCGAGAGCGAGGTGCATTTCAAGTATGTTTACCACCAGTTCGTTGGCTGTGGCTTGGTAGGTGCGCGCTTTGCGTGCACAACGCGCACTTTGCGCGGGCCCAGAGGCTCTGCGACTCGCCTCCTGCAATCCTGCCCTCTCCCGGTCACTTCCGCAGCAATCTGACAGGGACAATCTATTGTGCCATGCGAAGCAGACGCACTTCGTAAAGCGAAATATGAAAGCTAGTACAGGACCGGGAGAATGACCCCTCCCCGCCCAGTTCCCAGATAAACGGGGCTTGGGGCCGGATAATGGGGAAAGGCGTGGGAGGGGGCCTTGTTTGCTTCCCCCTTGGGGGGGGGTCTCAGCTGCCCCCTCCTCTCTGCCTCCCATCCAGCCAAGCCAGATCCACCAGAGCATGTCCGAGTGGAGCCGGTGCCCCAAGCGCCCCGGCGGCTGCGCGTCAGCTGGGAGTACCCCTCCTCTTGGCGCAAGGAGCTCTCCTTCCAGCTCCACTTCCGGCTGCGCTACCGGCCCGTCCTGCACGACTCCTGGTCAACGGTGAGTGGAGGGGGGTGCAGGGGTGGGGAGGGGGGGACTCCCTGCTTGCACATGGACCCATTTGGGGGAGGGGGGGCAGGTGGAGGGGCCGGTTGGTTCTGCCCGGACTCCCCCCTCCCATGTGAGCGGAGTCCAGAGGGTCAAGGGTCAACGGGGGGGGGCGGCACTGATGGGGGCCGCCTCTTGGCTCTGCAGATAGAGACCAGCAACATGTCAGAGGAGATCACGGATGCCATCATGGGCCTAGAGCACACGGTGCAGGTGAGCGCCAAGGACTACCTGGATGCTGGCAGCTGGAGCGAGTGGAGCCCGGAAGTGCGAGCCTGGCCGGCTGCAGGTAAGAGCAGGGGAAAGGGCACCACCCGGAGAGAACGGGGGAGGGAGGGCGGGGCTAGTGGAACAGGGCTGGGGCGGGGGGCTTAAATCTTGGGCGGATGTTGAAACAGCAGAGACCCACAGGGGGTCCTTGACTTACGGTGACAATTCAGCCAAAAACTTCCTTTGCTAAGCGAGACAGTTGTTAAGTAAATTGTGGTCCGTTTTACGACCTTTCTGGCCCTGGTTCTTAAGTGAATCACTGCAGCTGTCAGGTTAGTCACATGGTTACTAAGTGAACCTGGCTTCCTCGTTCACTGTGCTTGTCAGAAGGTCACTAAAGGGGCATCATGCGAGCCTGCGATGCTGCGACCATCGTAAATGTGAGTCAGTAGCCAAGGGTCTGAATTTTAATCCCGTGAGGGGCTGGGGGCCGGGCTCCAGATCTGTGGGGCCACAGACCTAGGGATTCTGGGCCTGGGGTGATCCTTCCTCTGTGGGTGTTGGTTGGCCTTCTCAGTCTCTACACCAGGGCTGGACAACTGTGCCACTTTAGGACCTGAGGACTTCAACTCCCAGAATTCCTGAGCCAGCTGCGCTTCTAAAGTTACCATCAGGCATCCTGGGAGTTGAAGTCCACAAGTCCTCAAGTTACCACGGTTTCCAATTCTTGCTTTCCATGTAGCAGGTGGGTCAGGCAGTGGGGCGGACTGTGTCCCCCACCCCCATTGCATTTTCCCAAGCTGTCCAATTTGGGGTCTCTCCCTCCTGCAGGACAGGTCACTGAGCCCAGCCAGGCTTCTCCGGACACCATTGAACTGGACCCGCCAGCCGAAGAGCCCTCTCCGGTCCCCGACAATGAGCCAGTCGGTACGTGGGGGGCCCCCCGAAACCAAGGTCGGCATGGAGAGCCAGGCCAGGGTGCTGATGCTAGTAGTTCAGTCCCAGTGCCAGGGTTCCCAGGATTGCCCTAATTAAATCATGAGCCTCGAGACAAACTTCAATCCAAATGATTTATTAGGAGCAACATGTCTGGCACTAACCCTAGGAAGCCAACTCTGAGGCACGTAATTTACTATCACCTATGATCCTATTTCCTCCCTGGGGGTGTCATCAATCACATTCTCCAACGAAGGATTTCCATGGGCAGAAGATCCAGTAGCCTAGGCTACAGTCTCCACAGGATAAGTGTGGAATGTTCTTCTGGTCTTCATCTGCCTCACTGCTCCCTCTGGTCTCCCGCCGCTCCTTCTTACGGCAACTCAGAAACAGGCCCGGGATTGATGTACGAGTTGACACCCAGGATATTTTCTTCGAAGGATTAAGATCTGGTTGCGGGGGTGGGGGGGCTGCAGCCCCCTCTTGCTGGCCTGGTCTGGATTGGGGCCCCCACCCCACCACCTCTGCCCTCGACTAGTAAGGGACAGGGCAACCGCCGGCAGGTTCCCGCAGGGTGATGGACCTCTTGTCTTCTCCAGCAGGGCAGGGGGACTCCGTGGAGAAGGTCGCAACGCTGGTGTCGCTTGGGGTCTTCGCCTTCTTTGCCCTGGTGGCCCTGCTCCTCTTTGCCTTCCTGGTGTGGTAGGTGCGGGGTCCTGGAGGTGGGAGGGTCTGGGTTGGAGAGTCTGGGGCTTGGTCTGGTGGGACAAGCCAGCTAGGAGGACCGGGGGGGGGGGGGGGGGAAGGTCACCAAACTGCTCAGAAAGTTAACAGCCGCTTCTCCCGGACTGGTGCAAGCCGGCTGAATCCCACCGCTGAGGAGGACCTCTCTGGACCTCGTTGGTCATCCGGGTGCTTTTCCCCCAAAGGCAAGTCGAGCTTCTTGGTTTTTTTCCCCTTGAAAACCTTTCGCTTCTCATCCGAGAAGCTTCTCCAGTTTTATTGCTGTTGAAATCAGTTCTGAAGAAGCTTCTTGGATGAGAAGCAAAACGTTTTCAAGGGAAATGCCAAGAAAGTCCAGTTGCCTTTTGGGAAAAACACCTTGGAGACTAGTATGATTTGATGGCTTATTGTACCCTGTGACTATCATTAAGTGTTGCACCTGGTGATTCTTGACTCTTGACGAAGGTCTCTTTTCTTTTTATGTGCACTGAGAGCATTTGCACCAAGACAAATTTCCTTGTGTGTCCAACCACACCTGGACAATAAAGTATTCTATTCTTTCTTTCCTTCTTTCTTTCTAGTTCTATCTATCTATCTATCTATCTATCTATCTATCTATCTATCTATCTATCTATCTATCTATCTATCTA